CTTAAAATCTTATAAAAAGCTTTATAAAAAGCTTCGTTTTTAATCCATTTTCAATCGTTTATATTTAAAAAGTGTATTTCTAAAAGAAAAAATGAGTTTTCACATTTATCGGAGATTTCATAAAACGATTTTGACTTGGCGACCTTATTATGAATTCTATCTTTAGATGCTTCGTTTCAAGTATTATGATATCTTGAAATAGAATTTTTGAAAACTTCCTGGAGCATCGTCTTGCAACGTCATTTTTAAAACGCTGCATGTCTCAGCGAGACATAAAAAGCCTATCGTGTGGCATGTCACGCGGTGCACCAGGAAGCTGTCGGGCATCCCTTTTTTAAGTGCCTCAAGAGGATTTATCATCATGCCCATGCTTCTCTCTTTCTTCCTCGGTGTCTCGTGTCATCTAGAATTGCGGCATTGTATGCAAATTGATGACAAGATTGCCAGAGTTGGATGAACTGATGTTCTGTTACATGTCTTGAAAAATGAAAAAACAAAATTTGAAGAGAGTAAAAATCATGATGAAGTTGATTCCTTCTAATATTAATATTATTAATAATTTTTGTTTTAATTATTAATACTTTTCAAGATGCTTCTTGTTAGCATCGTTATAAATTGACAATTATTAATGTGAGATACTAATATTTGTATTTCAAATATGAATTGGCATGCAGTTTATATAACTGAAAAATGTAAAAATTTGAATATGAATATTTCAGAAATCACATAGTTTCGATTCTTTCCATCTTACTTTTTATATAATAAAAAATTGAACATATATCAAAAAATAATTGGCAAAATATGTTCGAAATAATTGCCAATTTTCTGACGGATATGATTAGAAACAAGAGAGAAAGAGAGAAAAATGTGTTACACGATGAGTAAACGTGTTCGGAAATAGGAATGTGTAACATTCGACAATCGAGCTGATCATACAATAGTGCTCTTCCTCCAAGATTGAACGTAAATGATGATGGCGTCACGTTCAGCGCAAAATTACGCAAACCTTCATAAAGAACCCGTTAAATGCGTTCGTCATCTTACGCAATCGGCAGATTCAGAATCATTTTCATGGACTGGAAAATGCGATTCTCTTTAAATTAATACCTCAAGATCACGAGACCGTTACTTACGGGGATAATTGTATCTCATCATTTCGCTTTCCATATCAATTTATCGGTACGCGTAGCAATCGATTAATAAATCCCCAAGTAATCGTGATTGTCGCGTAAAGCGATAATTTTAAGGAGGAAAACTCGTATATTTCTCCTCAAATCTATAGATAAACCACACTGATGGCATTTTAGAGCCGCATGGATTTTGAACTGGTGACCTGATGGAAATTTAACGACTTGAATAAATATCACGAGGTGAGAAATGAATTGCACGAAAGAAAAACGAGAAAGACTGGTACAATATTTCAAGGTTGCCTGAGAATACCGTGAGCTTGTGCCATAACATTCGTGCGTGCAAGTTCGCGTGATTTTAATGTGCCTCTTAATAGCGGAATACCTGTGCAAAACACGCAACGACGGTAACGTGGAAGTTCAGGAATTATCGCTGACACAGTATGTCTATTTAAACTTGTTATTCATACTATCGCAGGTATCATCATATATAGGTACGTAGGAAAATCGCACGTGGCATGATAGCTAGATATTCGTTTATAGAAACATTAGTAAGTGTAGGATATAGATAATATTTTTTATTTCTTCTCTTTAGTTCGTGCTGAAAGGAAATGTGTTTTTATAATTCTTTTATCTATTTATAAATAGATTGTTGAATTTATCAAGAAAGCACTGCTATCAATTCAACATCAAGTGTTATTATTTTCCAACGAACTCATTATAACTCATTAACACAGATCTATCATTTTTTTTTCATAAACTCCGATGTTAATTACTTGGTCTTGATTTTCAATGTGATATAACACACAAATCTTGAACGCGGAAATAAGAATTTAAAAGAGACGAGATTTTTTTCTCAATAGATAGTATCGTCTAAAAATTCTATCTGTGATTATCGATCGTCTAAAAATGGACAACGTCGACGAGGGTGAATGACTCTTGTCGGGTCATCCTGACTCAGCCTCCGATAAATTAGATCTTATATAGCTGCGACATTCTCGTCACAGAATGAACATTAATTGGAGTGACAGCTTCAATTAAGTTTATTCAATGCAAATCTATTTCTATTTAATACAATACATACATAAAAGTATCGCGTGCTTATTCGTTGCTAATTATCATTTGACCGTTTTTTTCAGTTAATTAAAATCAACTCCGTGCGCTTGCCAAACAAAAATAACTGACCTTTTGTTGTCCCATTCGGGACCGATGTTCAATCGGGATTTGCATCCGTAAGTGTAATACCGCTATGCACGTGCCTGATCCAGACATCTCTGAATTACAATCAGATCTTCAATTCATATCCTCAATTCAATTAACCTTTTTGTCTCTTCATCGATCGATATTAAGATATTAAATTTCTGTCAATATTTCGCAAACGTTTACATTATTCGTACGAAATTCATGAAAACATAGATTTTATGATTAGGAAGAACTAAAGAGATAATTTTGCTCTCAGTACATATTTATTTACAAAATTGTATTTAATTAAGACATTTGTCGTTCGTAACACTCGAAGATTTTTCACGTCTAGCGAAATAAACGAATTTTTTCTGAAAAATGCCTCTATTTGGATCCAGTTCGAGATCTGCTCAGATTACTTCCTTGGTAGTCTCTGGTGAATACGTGTCGGGCATTTGATCTTGTTGGACAGACCGGATTTCTGTTCGTGTTTCCTTATGTGCATGATCACACTGAGAGTGAAGCAAATGGATCGGTAGCAGTGTGGGCCATACGTGACAGGTTGATCGTTACATTATAGAATTTCTGCGGTTTGATAATGGATAGGTATAGATATTATGTCCTCGCTTCGTTTGCCACGCATCGCGGCACACGTAACTCCATGGCGTGTTCATCAGCAGAGAGATACGCTGCAAGTTGCAAAAAAGAGAATAAGGTTCGCCACGTATTGTAAATGAGGAAGAGCGGAATTAAAAAAAAAAAGAGGAAGAAAAAAGAAGGAGGAAGCAGAACGATCGAAAACGGAAGCGTAAAGTTTCCGGTCTTTTACGTCATCTCTTTTCCCCGGAAGTAATATCGAAGAATTAATTTGCGTTATAAGAAGATATGATCGCGTCAGGGTGTGGAACGACGGGATACATAATGGATAAAAGTACGAGTTCGCCGCTCCCTTGACTAGAGCTTTTATGGCAGTGAAAGTGCATTTTACTTGTATCGGGTTCAATGATTTGCTCGCTTTAACGTTACACTGTTATATAATAATATCAAATTATATTCAATTTTATTTTTAATCATTTCTTTAGGTCACCACTGCTCGTACTCAATATGTCGTTAATTTAACTAAAACAATAAACAATTTAACTCAAGAAAATTATTAAATTTGACTTAAATTTAATTTATTATAAGTAAACTAAATTTAATTTAATAATTGTTTTACTAAGTGCATGCTTTAATGTAGATATTTATTTTTTAATGTAATTGTATATTTTGAAATTAACTTACAGAAATAAATTGATTTACATTTTGATATATGGAAGCAAAAAATGAAATAAAATTTTTAATTCAAATATGAAGGAAAGTTTTAAAATAATTCACGCGATTGAGAAGTCAATATATTTATAATTAAGAATTAAATCAGGAATTAAATTTGTAATAAAAATGAAATATCGAGAATGAAAACAAACTGTCAGTTGCGCGCAGTTTGTATCTTCTTCTTTCTAAAATTTGTATATTCTTTCTAAAGATTTTGATAGTACTATAGAAGTCTTTTATCTCATTACAATTCTTCAGACATGTCATTCTTGAAAGGACTTGCAAAGAGATCTCTAACAATAAGAGAGAGAGAGAGAGAGAGAAAGAGAAAGATTGTTCCACGCGACGAGGAATTTGAAAGTATAATTTGCAATATTATGGTAAATGTACTATAAAAAATTCCGCAATCTCTTAAGTATTTGCGTTGTATGCGTCAGAAAGAGAATGGTTCAATTTTCTTTCTTGGGTCGCTTCTTGGAAGCGTGTCGAAACATTTACGTCGCAACATTTACTTTAAAGAGCACATACGAATTTGGCAATTTACTAACATTTCGTTCTAACTGGCTTCTCCCAATTTGCCTTTTATGACTCTTTCCCATTAGGATAGAAATCGCCCGACAATTCAGAAAAATTTATCTTCCCGCGTGAAAGCGTAACACTGAATTCTAATTGTCTCGTCGTAGGCTAAAGAGTATCTCGTAACTAATGGCCAGAAATTGCAATCGACAAAAGTTTCGGAAATTTACGCGATTCAAGCACAAGTGTTCCGGATAGTCACGTTTTAATGTGAGATATTATCTTAATCAGGTGAAGGACATACATTGTATTGTAAAATACGGCGCTAGAATATATGTTGCTAGAAATCGATAGTTTGCGGCTGCCAAGTTTCAGTACTAGTACAATAATGATAGTTTTATTAATAAATATTTTAAACACCGATGAGATAATCTTTTATGATACTGGATTGAAAATAGCCGGTTGATGCTGTGAAAAAAAAATTATACACTTTTAGTAGATTATTATATAAATTAATAAATGTAAAAAAATTAATTAGCAATAGATTAATTGATATTTTAGTAATTTGGTATGACGATATTTAATGTTAAATAGGAAAAATAAATAGGAAAATTCCTGAATCTTGCAATAATAATTTCTCATTTTTCTCTTTCGCCAGAAGAGATTCGATTTGACATTTGCTCGAAATATCAAGGCCGCTCCGTGCGACCGGTTCTCGCCGCTAAAGTTTACCGTTAAGCATGACATATCGTAGCTCCTCGTGTTATATAGAGAGATATACGTATACAGGTGTAAACGATGGAAGAAAGTTGGGTGTATTTCTAAGTGAATCGTACAGAGAAGTTCGTATCCGAATGGCTGTCGCACTCTCAAAGGAAATCGACGTTTCTCTTTCACATCGGCCAATAAAATATCATTCGACATTATTATTAATGACGCAGTCGACACAATTGCCGACTATATGTCCGCATATTACGTCGATTTATCGTGGATATAAATTACAGATGGGTCGCGAGACGTACGTGACATTTACATATCATTAAATGCCAACTGACGTCAAATTTTCTGTGCATTTCTAACGCATGTGCTGTTGCACTGCGATACGTACTTTGCATGATGAAATTATTGCGCATAAAAATTTAAAACATTGCGAAAAAATAACTCAAAAAATCCCTTCGTCCTTTTTATTAGAAGAGGAAAAACTATTTATCATTTTTTTCAATTCTATTTTTAATTTCATGAATCTTCTATTTCATCAGAATTTGTTTTTTAAATAATGCAGATATTTAATATTTAATGTTTGAAGACAGTTTAAATGTTATTTAGGCAGGCAGATCTAGAAGTTGGATTTTCTCTTCTCGATAAAACATATATCTATTCTCGCCTTCTTTCATCATCTCAAAGTACTTATCTCTCCTGTATAGAAACTGTTACATTTTACATATCACGAAGAGTTTTCCCTCGTGTATTTCACTTTAAACTTTGTGGATGTTCGGGATGATCCGTTTATCTTGAGCGTCTTTCGAAAGAGAAAGAATATTTCTCAGACAATTAGTTAGTTATTTAATATATTCAATATATTTTCTTGTGAATTTTATATAATTTCGAATTCAAACTTCCAGTTCAATCCGTACACATATGATAATGTTTGCATTTGTCTTGCAACTTGTCTCTTTTACAGACCGGGACAACGGCTTTATTCTTCGCCGCCCAGGGCGGATACATGGACATCGCGGGTTTGCTTTTGGAGCATGGCGCGATCGTGGATTCATGCAGCATAGTAAGTAGAGAGGCTGAGGAGATCTTAGCGCGTGGTGCGTAACCCGATCTCGCTACTCTTTAACTCTCTAAATCTGAATCAGTGAATAATCACTAATTAACCAGTAGCATACTTGGTACTGATAATCAGTGAAGTTCAATTAGAAAAGGAAGAATGTTTGAGCATTATATAAAATACTGATATTTTCATTCAATCTTCCAATATTATATTCATTGAATTTAAGCACTAAAACAAGGTCAATTAGATCACATAATAAAAATTAGCTAGATTAGGGATTTCACATTTAATTCACTAATTACCAGTGGCATACTTGACACTGACATCAGTGATTATTCACTGATTCAGATTTAAAGAGAACGCTAATTGTTTTTTTTTGGCTGAACTTTTGCATCAGTTCATCTTTCTTCCTTTTCTCTTCAGGAGGAAAGAAGAGGAAAAAAAATGAATTGGTGTAAAAGTTCAGCCAAAAAGAACAGGCTTAATGTATCCCACGTGGATTTCAGGACGGCGGCACGCCACTCTTCGTCGCATGTCAGTATGGTCATCTGGATGTTGTGGAGGGCTTAATAGAGAGAGGCGCCAGTCCGAATGCTCATATGAAGGTAAAAAAATGCGTTTAAAATGCCGGCTCCAATAAGCTCGCCAATTATAATTCTTAGATCAGTATTCATAATTTATTTTTATCTCGTTTAAGCTCGTTTTAAGTAATGCTTAAAGAAACTAATACAATTCTGTGATTAATTTTATATCTTAAAGCATTTAAGATGTTAAATATAAGAATAAATTATAAATACTAGTTTCAGTATATCTGACTGAAAAAGTTTGAATATAAGGTAAACGTGTGGACTTGCAGACATGTACCTATAATATGTTCGGACATTTACAAAAAAGCTTCATTTATTTATATTAATCTCAAATGTTTTTTCAAAAACATTTAGTATTATATTTAATTGTCTCTTTAAATACAATCTTTAAATCTTTAAATACAATTAAATTATATTGTAATAAAAAGAGCATTGGAGATTAATAATAATAATAAATAATAATAATAATAAATTTTTTGTATAAGTATCCGGACATAAATGTCCGCTCACTGGGATGTTTATCTTATGGGAAATCGATTTTATGAATAATATTGAGATTTCTTAATTCAGTTATTTTATTAAATACAAATCTTTAATTTATGAAGATGAAATTACTACTAAAATAATCAATACGCTTCAATCGGAAGAGACATTGCTCAATATATTTGGTAACAATGCTATATTAGTATATGAGAAAAAGTTAAGAAATATAGGTGATACTTAGGATGGTGCCACAGCGTTGTTTATTGCTGCCCAAAACGGCCATGTTCGTATTCTGGAAGTCCTCCTGGAGCACGGGGCGAAGACGGACGCGGTAAGAACGGACGGCGCTACACCACTGTGGATCGCATCGCAAATGGGACACGATCATGTCGTCAGAAGGCTGTTGAGAGCCGACGCGAAGGTCGACGCCACGAGACACGTAAGTCTCACGTAGGTTGCATGTCATATAATCGCCGAAAGTGAGCTCTTACTATTGTGCCATTCAGACGTCTTGTCATCGCGAACAATTTCCTTTTGCAGGACGGCGCAACCCCGCTTTTCAAAGCTGCCCACAAAGGTCACACCGCTGTCATCGGCGAATTGCTCAAGTACCGTCCTTCACTCGGCATACTCCCGGTAAGAGTTAGAAAAAATCAACGAGTTTTAAATATTCCAAAAATATTCGTGTGTGATTTTAAATTTAATTATACAAGTAAAATTCCTGTGTGAGTCTCCGTGCATTAGTTATATATTTATATTTTTTATACTTACCAAATGAAATTAACAAACGCACATTTCGACTCCTGGATTTGATCCTCTTCAATACGGAAGTTTTAGTACAAACTACTGGTACAATAAACCGTTGTATTTGACTTTCGCACTGAAGAGAATCTCAATTTGTGTTTACTTTAACTTCGTTTGGTAAGTAAAGTAATCTCAATTAGTTACGAATTATATTTATGCATTATGAATTTAAACGTGTTAACATTTGTGGAAACTCACATAGATATTTTATTTGTCTTAGATTTATTCTTGGAGTCACAAATATTACTATTTTATGTTATTTCAATTTAGTTTTAAGTTAATTTTAATCTATAATTATAAGTAAATTTTATGTATGTAATTTCTTATGCGCAAGTAACTGTTGGATTTCTTTACGATTTCAGAACGGCGAAAGTGCATTACATGCAGCAGCCTTGACGGGACATATGACAGTTGCGAGGCAGCTCGTAGGAGCGGGGGCTGATCCTTTACTCGTAAATCAGGAAGGCATCACGCCACTTCAACTGGCTGTCCGACACTCGCAGACGCAAGTCGCCAATTACCTGAGGGATAAAGTGAGAGTGCGAACTGCATCCTGTTAGCGATACTTCCTTTATCTTGATATTACCATATCGAGAATCTCGAGATATTATTCGATGAGCTCGGCTCAATGATCGCAGTATTTTTAAGCAGGATATAAAGCATAAATGATGAAAAAGAGTAGCCTGTTTTTAAAATCGATAGTTTTATTATGATAAAAGAATGTTATATGTGAAGTTTTTTTCATTATTTTATTATATATTATTATATAAAGAATGTTATGTATTTTTTTTAAGAATGCGAAGCATAATGTATATCTTCTTAGTACTGATGAAGAAACCCTTACCGACACTGAAAATAAAATAAAGCTATTCTTTTTCATGTGTTACTCTGTACTACATAAGTGATATTAATAATCACAATAAGCACGCGAAAGATGTGACAATGAAGAGAAATTTAAATTCATGCAGTAATGACAGCGGATACATTAACCAGAGTAAGTTGATTACATTAATAAAGATTGTAAGCAGGAATCCGTCTTTATGGAAGTGATTAGGATCTGTTTGTTTGCATCGTTCTTTTTTACTCCAAAGCCTTTCCTTTAAAGTACTGAAAATAATAAAAACGCACGATTGAAATAAACAGATCCATTATTATGTAGTGTACGTAATCATGATACTATTTTGTTGTAAATTTCGATAAAAATATTTTAATACAGTTTTCTATTGTCAGACATATAAAATGACGTTAGAATGTTGTGAACGTCAAAAAATAATCTACTTCATTCTGTTATATTCCACAGTATAACATATACAGCGAATTCGATTGGATTGCACTTAGTACACTGATGCACATTAAAGCCGTCGTACACAAATTAACATAAAGATATACGTTTATTATAAACGTGGAAATTGGTTAAATCATGAAATATTTAATACATTTTATCGTGCTGTTAGATAAAGTATGCATCTTATAATTCAAAATATGTACATTTTAGTTTTTTTTTACGCTCAGATTAAATCAGTGTACGGCTTTAATATGCACTAGTATGTCCAATCGAAAATTCCCTAATAGATTTTATAAACTTCATCTCAGCAGTAATTTCATGCGATGAAAATGCAATGAAAATTTCATGTACATATATATCAGCAGTCTGTTTACAAAATAATTATATTGATTATTATATAATTAATGAAAAGAACATCAATTAATTTGTTGAAATTAATGAGTTTATAAGACTGACTGATTTGCCTTGAGATAAATATTTTCTTATTGTAGGTACAGATATAAATTCCAGATCTTTTATCTATTCTATTGTGTAAGGGATGTGCAAGGCGGTAAAGTCATTTGTTAGAAATTAAAATATTTTATTATATACATAAAATAGAATATTGACGCACACTGGATAATCTTTAAAAAATTATAGTAATTGAACGCATAAAATATTGTTTATATTATTACTCCGTTATTAAAAAATAAACTATTCTATCGAAGTTAAACTACACAGTGATATTTAAACATTTTACTTTAAAATAATATTTAAATATTTTGTAACAATTTTAGCTCTGTAGAAAAGTAATAAGTACTCCTGTCTTCCTAACAAACAGCACAGTTTATTAGATGTAGTTATTGTTATTGTTAACGAAAAAAATGCAAAAGAAATAATAATAAAGTTCTCTGTAAAGAAAAGTGACTTCTAATGTATAAAATTATATGTTACAAATATATTTCGTTATATGAAACAATTTCGATTATTGTTCCTTGAAACATATTATATGCGCGTACTATTATACAACTATTGCTAAATTAATACTATTTGTACTCCTGCTTAATGTTTATCATTAATTTCTTTTTGCTTATATAATTTATAACATATACTTTTTTTAGTACATATAATGAAATTAGCCAGGTTTGGTTTATGAAATATCACAGAATAGTTCACATAGTATTCGGAATGTTATAAATTAAAATTGTTTTAAAATAAATGAAAAACTACATTTATCATTTAAAATTTTTTTACAATTCTATTTGGCTTCTTTCTTTCATATTGTAATATTAAATTTATTGCAAATTGTAAGTGACAAGTAATAATTAACAATTACATATATATTTTTATCAATAAAATTAAATTTATTTTTCAACCAATTAAAAATAATTAAAATAGTTTGTTATAATAAAAGCAACTTAATATAACTCTATTAATATTTTAAAATAGTTTTTCTTTTCTGTTTTGTATTATTTTCTACTGTTTTTAAATATTAAATTTAATTAAAATATAGAATAAAATATTTT